CGTTACGGTGTGCGACACGTCGCGATGCGGCTGCATCGTCTCCAGTGACTGTACCTGTCGGACCCGCAAAAAAACAGTCAAGACGCAGTTGGTAGCGTCGCGTCTCACACACCGCCCTCCCTCCTGCTACCGCCGCCGCCTCCCGCGCTTTTCCGCAATCCGTGCGGCGGGGGAGTTAGCACGCGGCGTCGTGATGAAGAGCCGACAGAGAACGATGAGTGCGTGTTGGTGACGTACGGGGCGTGTTCGTACGCAGACGTGCGATACACTAACAGGTGGCGGACAAGCGCGAATGACACTGTAGCTGGGCGATGTGTGTGTTGCGAATGTCACGTGGGTTGTCACGTAATCAGATTGGTTTCTTCCGCTCACGTGACACGCATGTATAAAAGGAAATTGTAGGCAGGCGCCAGATGCGTTGGGAGAGCACTACGGTTATAGCTTTATTGTCGGTGGTCACGGAAAAACCAGAAATAGGATATGGTAATGAGATGAGAAATAGTTGTCTAACAGGTGCTTTGTTAGACTGTACATAGACATTGAGAAACGTAGTAATGTATGGAAAGACGACCGAGAAATTGCATCTGAGCTCAAGTAATGCGAAAACCTTGTGGTTTTACATACCATTATATGCTTATCACATTTAATATTCACGCTAGGTTGATAACATCCCCGTGCATGCTATTGGGTTTATTGTGAAATAGTATGCTGTTTTTCTGACACTAGGCTATAAGAGATGGATATCACGCTTCGTGTGATTTCTGTGCTATGCTATGCTACCTGTGTTCCCGTAGGCGTCTCAATGACATGTATAACCTGGACGTTTCCCTCCATCCTGCGGAAGCTGCTTCCGCTATCCCTCCTACGTCGTCTATATCCCTAACCTCTCGCCTTCTCTCGTCTTCCTCCTTCTTGGTCTTGATGTCGCTATTACTATACAGGCAAGAACTGGAAAGCGGCGACTGAAACAGAGACAACACGTACGCTTTCACTTTACGGTGATGTGGCGGTTGTTAAGTACTAGGAGAGTACCGAGCCGTGGTGTGCACAAATAAAGGATTTTTAGTTTGAATGTTTATCCTGCACTTTTTCCACAATGTGTTACGTCGCGTTAACCTCACGCAGAGCCGCATCCAGAAATTCTGAAATGGAGGTGCCCGGGGAATTCACAGCCGACGAGGTCGGATAGATGCCCAAAACATATTTATTTACAATATGTCGTTGCATTATAATGTTTACTACATATTTTTATCAGCTTAGAGCACGGTATTCCATTTTAACTGAAAGATATTTACTACGCTGGAAAAGTCACGAAAGGGTTGGAGAACCTGATTCCACGAATCTCCTCTGGATCAGCTCCTGATAGACAAAGTATTTTAAATAAATTTTTTATCGTGGTTCATGAAATATTTTTCCAAAATATTATTTATTGTTTCCATTGCTGTTGGAAAATCGAAGATATAGAAATATAGGAATATAGGAATATATGAATATAGATAACACATAGGCTATTAATTGTCATGCTTACGAAAACAACAATGGTGACTGTGCGAGTTTTGCCTGCGGACTTCCTTGCTTTGTCATTAACCTTAACAAATGCCGAACACCGTCATACTTCTTTTATGGTTACTTCTAATTATAACTTGTCAAAAACAAAAGGCTTATAAACCAGAGGTTTTTATTCGATATATATATATTCGATATCACATATCAGACACTGCTAGCTTAGCTCATAGGTAATTATAATTCGTCCAATGTTCAAATTACCATGGTAAGCCTCAATGATGGCGCTAAATAACAATGCATGCTCTATAAATTATTTCCACTAATTTCACGTAAATTCAACTTGGAGTTGAGACTTATGTTTTGTTCAGTTCGTTTGCAATTCTGACTGGACTATAATGCGATGACAATGCTGCCATAGCCCCCAACCGCGCGCGTCCTTCGTCGAGGACGTGCGTTGATGTATAGAGTATAGACTCGCTGAGAAAATTGCCGGTATTCTCGTGAGTCGCCCTGCGGCAGTACAGTACGGCGAAGTACTCTCTCGTCTCTCTCTGCTCTCTCCGCTCTCTCTCTCATCTCTCTCTCTCTCTCCTTCCCCCCCCCTCTCCTCTCTCTCTCTCTCTTCTCTATCTCTCTATCTTCGCTTATCTCTCGCCGCGCGCGCAGGTGCGTGCGCTCTCTCCTGCGTCTCTCTCTCGCTCTCTCGCGTGCGTGCGCTCTCTCTCTCGCTCTCTCTCTCCGCTCCGCTCGTCGCTCTCTCCTGCTCTTCTCTCTCGTCTCTCTCTCTCTCTGTCTCCCCTCATTTTATCTTTTCTTTTCTATCACCCCTCTCGTCTCCCACTCTCGTCGCTCTCTCTCTCTCCTCTCTTGCTCTCTCTCTCGCCGCGCGCTTGCTCTTCTCTTTCTCCTCTCTACACTCTCTGTCTGCTCTCTCTTCGCGTCTCTCTCTCCTCTCTTTCTCGTCCCTCTCTCTCATTCCTGCTTCTCTCTCTCGTCTCTGCGCGCCTCTCTCTCTACTCTCTTTCCGTTCTCTCTCTCTCTCCTCTCTCTCTTCTCTCTTCGTCTACTCTCCACCGTCAACGCAGGTCGCGTTACGCTCAGGTTTCCTGCCCAGCATAGCAGAACCGTTGAGCTGTATATGTATCATCTCTAACTGATTATTACTACCACGTTGCGTAACTTCGCTACAATCGCAATCACATCGTTTACTTTTCCAGCACATGTTTCTTTTTTCAAAGAAATACCGTTTGTTCGAATACGGAAAAGTTTCAGTCACATCTCAATGTGTTAGCTTGGAATCACGGCGACAGGCTGCCATCGCTGCGATGCGCCGCCGACGTCCGCTGCGCAGGTGCGCAGCTATTGCCATACAGGTGCAAGCAGGTGTGTTGAAACACTGAGTTTTACTTCACGCATGTCTGCGGCTATAATGCGCTGTGCGAAGCATTCAAATGAAATCACGTCGCATGGTGATTGTTGTGACCTATGGTAAACATTGCGTCTCGTCCCACGCGCCCGAGATGCAGTTGGTGTAGATACAATATAATTATGCAAATACATATATTTATTCATTTATTTATTTATTTATATATTAATTATTTATTTATTTATTTATTTATATATTCATTGATATAATTATTTGTTTTGTTTGTTTGTTTATGTTTAGAAAGATCAAAAAAAATATTAGTCGTAGAAAGTATTGTTGAGACACATGTGAATGCTGGGATGTAATTATAGCCTTGATATGTGCATCCCATACGGCCACTATACCTATTAGAGTGGTTGTGCTGTCTCTTCACTTTGTAACAGAACGATAATATAATATTTCTAATACGAAGTGAAAACACAGGGCACAACGTTTTACACTATGCACGTGTTTCGTAGCAAGTTACCTCGTGACGTCACAGTGCTCTGCGGTTGCCGGACGCGCACTTAAAAACTATACGGAGAAATGTTAATACGAAAACAGGTATCCTCCACCCACCTACACACACACACCCGCCCGCCGCGCGCGCCACACACACACACACACACACACACACACACACACACACACACACACACACACACACACACACACACACACACACACACACACACACACCATTCCTACCGCTTGTCTCCCCAAGGCCTTAGCTTGCTTAGAAAAAAGGTCTCACGTCACGCTTGGCTACGCGAAACGCACTGCGCGAAGGCGACCGCCGATGCGTGCTGAAGAAATGAACCGAAACTCACCGTCTCCCACAAAAACCCACACATATATAGCAAATGTAGAGTACGTCGTCATCAAGACGAAGGTCTATACTGCGCACTTGACAATCGGTACAACGCCGCTCTTTCCCACGTTTGTGAGCGTAGAAATGGCGCCAATAATTCTCAAACTAAAGTCCCGGAGCCCCGAAGTCACTGTAGTACATTGTCTAAGACACCCATTAGACAAAGACAGCTGAACGTGGACACTTGCGCAGTCTAATGTCGTATCTATCTAGCTCTTGTTTAGAGCCATGTGAGTTAAGCAACAGTATTTTATATAGGCTACGTACAACATCATGAAAACTACCTTTCTGTTACTTCGCGCTCAACATATCCTATAACTAATTAACTATGTTTGCGTTAATCCCGCTCTCGGCATGTGCACCATCGATTTCTTAAATAAAGATTGGTAAACATTATTTTATTAAAATATCTAAATAAAACTGTGATTTATTAAAATACAACTGCTATATATATATATTATGTTTCTATTTATTCAGCTGTCGTTATATCGCTGAAAATATTGCTCATGATCACCACCGCCACGAGAATTCCAGGAAATCAAAATGGCGTCGTATTCGCTGACACCTGTAGCTCTAGCGTGACGCCATAGCGATGCCGCCTTGCTGATAGTATCTGAGGCGTATTTATACTTTTCTATGAATCAAGCAGTAAATTTGCTTTTAGGTGACAGCTTCCATTGGTTATTGATTGCGTAATTACTGTAGCCTGTTTGTCCATATCCGCGCACTTCTATTTAGTTCTACCATGTGTGGGAAACGCGCAGTTGGCCACACCCAAAACTAGCAGTGAAATTGCCTTCATTCACAACAACATCAATTGGAAATCTTACACCCTAAAATAAAATACGACTAGATATATTCATATTAAATAGATAAATAAATAAATAAATATATATATATATATATTTTGTATTATATATTATATCTGTAAATAATAGAACATAATAATTAATAATTAATAGAAATAAATGATTTTGCACCGGAAAATATAAAGGGCCTGTCACGTTAAGATAGTCAAATGATAAGATGCCAACGAGAACATTAATACAGCCGTGGTAAAACCATGGAGATGAGAAAGATGTATAGCTAGGTGTACGTAGATGGATGCACAATGATTATCTGCGGACAGACGGACGCATGAACACTGGATGAGCAGGAAGGTTGTTAACATTATAGGAGTGCGAATGATCCCACGAGCGTGGATACGAAAGTCGTGCGTGTACATGAAATGCACGTAGCGGGAGAGAGTGCAAACGTGCTCGAGTACGGAGAGAGAAGGGTAAATCGAGTGTGTGAGAGGGGAGGGGTTAAACGTGTGCGTGAGGAAGAGAGAGGGTGGTGTATATGTACGGGGAGAAGCACTGACGTGCGAGTGCGAGGAGAGAAATTGTTGTGCGGGTGTACGGAGAGGGGAACTGCTGTGCGAATACGGGGAGAGGGAGGGGCTGGTGTAACTCTACGGAGTAAGGAACTGGTGTGCGTGTACGAAGAGAGGAACTGTAGTGCGGGTGTACAGAGAGAAGAACTGCTGTGCGAATACGGGAAGAAGAACTGCTGTTCGGGTGTACGGAGAGGGGAACTGCTGTGCGAATACAGGGAGAGGCACTGTTGTGCGAGTACGGAAAGGGACTGGTGCGGATGTACGGAGAAAGAGGAACTGTTGTGCGAGTGTACGGGGAGAGGGTCTGGTGTAACTCTACGAAGAGAGGGGCTGGTGCGGGTGTACGAGGAGAGGAACTGGCGGAGTGCGGAGAGAGGAACTGGTGTGCGGGTGTACGAGGAGAGGAACTGGTGTGCGGTGGCGAAGGCTGCAGGACAGTCTGCCTCGGTCCGGTGCGTCCTCAGTCGCGATCGTCTGCTTCGGTCCTTGGTCGCTGTTGAAGCGCGTCGTGGCTCCTTGGCTCGGCAGCGGATGGGTAGTAGTGCGAGGAGACGGAGAGACGCGACGGCCCGTTAGCTCGATCTGCCACTTACCGCTACGACACCGTCGCGACAGCCGACGTCGGCGTCGTCCCCAACAGTCGTCGTTGTCGGCGGCGGCGGCACAGAACGCAGAACGTCGTCGCAAAGCAGTAGTCGTGTGGAGTGTGTGCGCGCGCGTGTGTGTGTGCGTATCACCGGTAGCCGTCGAATTCGTAACAACAGCGTGTCCCGGATGTGTGCATACCTTTACTGCGCTGCCGCTGCTAGAGCTACCTGCCTTACTGCTGTACTGAGTCTCCGTAGCGCCCCGAGCCACCGTATCTGGCTTGCGCGCGGGGTCTACGCCCTCGGCCCAGCCGTGCGGAACCGGCTGGGCTGCCTACCTACCTATTGACGACAGCCAGCTCTCTCTGAAAGACCACTGTTATCCTTGGCATCCGGTGCTTACCTTGCTCGCGCCATGATTGCCAGCATAGGCCGAAGAAAAGTTGTGGTGCGCCGCGCTGCTGTCGTACGGGGTGGCGGCCATCGTGGGTCGGCACCAGCAGTCCCCCTGATGACCGCCTCCCCTGTGATGTATCGGCAGAGACGAAACGCCCCGAACATTGTTAACATGCATGCGTCCGGGCGGGCGAGATTTCTCGCTGTTATTTGCATTGAGCCGCAGAACCGTGGTGGTTCAACAACATGGCGGTCTGTCGAAATTTCACGAGGAGATTTACTGTAGAAATTTTCTACTCGAAACAATAGTGCTTGCTAGATGTTTGATTTAATTTGCGAGCATAGATGCGTTTCCCCAGTGAGCATGACTCAACACTTTACAAACATTCAAACATAATATGGTAATGAGTTCTGTTGGATTCCTCGCGTGTTTATGTGAGGAGTGCACGAAATATTATAAAATTGCGTTTATATTGAATTAAAATAGCATCCACACCTACACCAGCTTAATTTTGCCGTGCGGCTATAGATGATGGTCGTAATAGCATGTGAAGCGATGGAATATTTCGTGCACTGTAGCTAGAAACTGAACGCTATCATTCTGAGAAAATAATATGACCATACGTCCTGAGGCAATGTCTATCGTATATGCTCACCTGACTGCCTATTTTTAGTCTTCACTCCTGGCATGCTTAAGATTAGGTTTTCTGTTCGTTGAGGCCATTATTGTATATAGGGAACACACATGTTATGATGCCAACAACGCCAACGTGGACATGAATAGATCTGACCATCATGAATAAATTAAACCGAAAAATTTACGCAGTACTGTATAAAATACAGTAAAACAGTATGCGTGTGCGTTAGTGCAGCATATATTGCCGCGTCACTCTATCAAAGGTGTGAGAGGGTGGGCACGCTCGTACTTGCGCCTGTGTGAATGTTTGGCCAATTTATGTTGATATAAATCAAATATAAATGATATAAATACTTGATGTATTATAACTTGTAATTTTATAATTTTACGATATATATATATATATATATATCAGGCATATATACATACAGCCGCTGTAAAAGAACACAGGGTCGATGACCAGCGAGGTTAAAGGTGCGATGGACGAGAGAAAATTATAGAGAAAGCTCATTCGATGTTCATACTAAAACCAGACTGATGATATGTATATATATATATATATATATATATATATATATATACTACTATATATATACTATATATATATATATATACTTATATATATAGTAAGGTAGGTACGTACGTACGTACCTACCACTAATATACGATAGTTAGTACGTAGTAGTACGTACGTAGGTACGTTAGTACGTACGTAAC